ACGCATCGCTTCAAATAAGAAAATAAAATTGGTTCCAAACATACATGAAACACCATAACTGAATAAAGCATCATTGAGAAATTTTAACGCAAATGAATAGATTCATAAAGCGATTTTAAGAGAAATCGATCAACTTTGATTTGTACATCACTTAATGCTCTAAGCTGATTGAAAGGTTGTGACACACCTTATGATCATATCGATAAAAAAAGTAAAGGGATACCTTCCAAACAATCAAACCACGAAATATTTCACATAATTCAAAAAAATACACCACAAAACATTCACAAAATGTAATTTGCAGACGTTTTCTCACAAATTGTTTTCCACTAGCAAATTTCGCAAACAATTTTTCAATATACGACGCAAATCGTCCCAAACACCGATGGCAAATTGGATCAAATAAAAGCGTTCTTGGATGCATAGGTCAAGACTTTGACTTCTTATCAGGATTAAGTAAATGCGCACTCAAAAAGCGTCGTTTGTCACTTATATGCGAATAAAAGCGAAACTGAGGCACGATTTTAATAATAACAATGCTATTGATAATAATAAAAACAACACTGAGAGTGATGCGGATAGTGACATGAAGATTTGAGTCAAACTTTCAATTTTAGACACAAAAACGATAAAATTGGTAACAATAGAGAGGTAATCACGACACTTACAATCGCATTTCAGTCATTGCATTATCTTCAAAAACAAAAAACCTCCTACATCCCACTTAAAAAANAAAAAACATATGACAGAAAATTTTCTTCTTCACTCGACTCTACTGATTAAAAATGCACGTTTGTGGCTTCATCAGGTATTCTCACTTAATGAATTCTTCAATTGTAACTAATCGATGATCACTGTCAAAGATAATGAATATCAAAGAGGATAAAATTCATCTTCATCTGCATACTGAAAAGAGATTAACGATCGAATCGTTTTTTCGAAGACAAATTTAGTTTCATCAGACAATAACGTAAAGTCATTTCATGACAAACAACAGCAGTGTAATGCAAACGAGTCAAAACCGAACGCAAATCAACGCAACACAACAGCAATGCAAAACAGCAAACCAAATACGCACCGAGAATCGAAGAAACAAGCGTTTCCTCACAGAGATTTACTCATTCCATCCAACAATACAATCTCAAACATAACTAAATCGAGTGCTCATCCAACTAAATAACATTTGCTAATACGCTCAACACGGCCCATGAAGCCAAATTATTGAACATTATTACCCTTATCGAACTCAATAATTACGCAAAAACAAAAATAGCAACTGAACGAATTATGGCGTGAATATTAATGAGCACATCGAATGAATGAATGCGATATCAATGAGTATCCAACATTTGCACTGTGAATAGTTCCAATCGGAAATGACGAAACACGCAAATATATATTAGCATAACTATGGTACTATCACAGCATATTTAATCTAAAAATTAATGCATCTTTTCTGTCGTTGTTTAAGAATGAACAAATTCATCAATTCTTGATCATTATACTTTCCAAATAAACGATAAATTCGCCCTTCAATCAACCAAATAATAACAAGTGATGTTGGACGAACGAAATATCATCAGTCACAGAAGATAAAGCCTTAAATAAGCAAATAAATGTTTACAATAATATTCCTTCTCAACAGAAAACACTTAACAGATATTCGGAAATATCTATCAATTCAACGATTAACAAGCTTAATTCAATCAGTTTCTCTTTGAAACAATTTGAAATTCCTTCAAGGAATCAACCAAAAATTTCGGAAAACATTCATTTCATTTGTTCCTGCTAACTCTATCTCGAATATTAATTTCTCAGAAGTCGATTAGCAGATTAAGTTAATGATCTAAAAAATTACCATAAACAAAGTGATGTTTTTCTTTCTGTTGAAACATTCTTATGAACTTATGATAGATTGTTCGATTCGATAGCAATAGATGTATTGAATATTGAAAAGAAACAAGAATTATAAAGTCGGAAATATCACACGATATTTATATAACTGAACGACGAATTCATCGATGAGATGCGAAAAAATCGAACGAACTGTCACGTCGCGTCGAGGTAGCATCGTATTCACCACCGACATGACAGTCACTCAGCTCATCCATACTCGCTCTTCTGCAATTTTTTTCATTCACTAATCATTCATCGCTTCTAAATGAACGATTCACAATTACGTTTTCAATGATAATGAACAACATTCAAATAGATCGTTGAAAAATTTCTATACAGTTAACACGGAGACAAATAATATTACTAACTGATTCGCTGAAGGGTATTATTCCAGTTCAAACTATTAGACCAATTAATTCATACTACTCATCGTATGAATTTGAAAAATTATCAAATGTTAAAACTTACGACTGAGTCGAAATTCAGTTGAATCGACTGCAGGAATTCCAAATTAAAAATCAAGACAGAATGAAAAGTTCACCTGGAAAAGAAGTATTCCACTTCACTCTCATCGAGCAGATCACGTTGTGCATCATGATGAGAGCTTGCTTTCACGACTGCTTCCATTAAACGTTCATAATCTTCCTCTACCGCGCCCTTTCCCTAAAAATATTGCACCGAACCGTTCAATTTTATTCCAACATCCAATATTTTTTTTTGTTTCTTCGTACAATTTTCCTCACAAATCAGAATTAGGAATTAACAGATGTCAGCCTCATTGATCTGCCCAAGCTGGAAAGAAACTCCTGCATTATCTGGTAGCGAAGTTCCTTTTCTCTCAGAAGTTTTTCTGGAACAATTGCTATGTTAAGATTCTGAATTACGTTGTGGTAAGTAGAAAGTCTCGATCCTATAAAAAAAGAATGCAGCTGATCTTCACTCGACTACTTTTTTTCAAATGTGTTCCCATAATGGATGAATCCTCATTTAGGGAAATCAAAAAATAGAAGCGAGTAATGGAGAAGCGATTGCGTGGACTAGCCTTTATCCATGGGTATTCAAGGATTTGTTGTGCAGAGAAACGTTCCTCAACATCCAGTTGTAGAAGACCTTGAATAAGACCTTTAGCTGAATACGAAATATCATTCCAAATCGATGCCGGAAATGTGAAACGGCCATTGAGAATTTGTTCAAATAGTTGTTCCTGATTACCGTCAATACTGCAAAATTATGGCATTCAAGGATAATCCATACATTATCTCTCAAATGTTACGAGAATAAAATAATTCTTCTTGAAATGACAACACAAAAGCGAAACCTTTGGAATGGTGGAAAGCCGCACAGCAAAACATACAAGATAACACCCGTAGCCCACATATCAACTTTTTGGTCGTAACCCAATTCAGCGAGTACCTTGAATAAATAAATCACTTTAAGTTTCAACAGCTTACAACAACGCTCTTTCTTAGCTTTATAGAGGCAGGGATAGTGATCTCATATTGCATTATTCACTTGAGTTCATTGGATGCGTGATTCAAAACACTGACACAATGAGTGAAAGAAACAAACGAGTAACGAATAACGATTCATCAGAAAAAACGTAACGATTTGTGGGGCACTGAACTCACCTCAGGTGCTACATAGGTTGGCGTGCCACAGATAACTGTCAACGGCTGATCCCTCATTTCAACGGCTAATCCAAAATCGGCTAATTTCAACTGAAGGTCACTCGTATATGGACATGAATAAATCTAAATAATTCATAATTTAATTTTTACTCAACCATAATTTATTACAAACAATCACACTGTCATAATCTGCATCAATAGTAAGACTTTCTGTGAGGAGCAGATCTTAATGCATGATTTCATTGCAACAAACTGATTTCCGACCTTGAATTCATAACATTTCCTTTCACTTTTCCTCGATATCAAATACAGAAAATAAAGACAAAGCTGATGCGCATAAATCATGATAGCAGATTTGTAATATTAATGAAAAACTGATTTTGAAATGCAAAATTAAAACGAACAAGTAAATTTTCAGGCTTAACATCACGATGAACAATGTTGAGAGCGTGTAAGTAATCGAGTGCTGACGATAAACACTTTATCAACGATGATGCACACCGCTCATCAACACGTCGCACACGACATAAATGCTCAAACAGATCACCACCCTACAAATTTCCACTCTTTTATAAAATCCCAAAAGTAAAATCAAACAATCACGCACGATTTGTGTAGCGAGTCACACCGAACACCATTTTAGAGCCGTAAAATCAACGAACCGGAATGAGTTCCAGTGATAGATAATAGGAGCCGTCGAATTGCCAGCACTCATGCATCTGAACGATGAATTCGTGTGAAATTCGTTGCATGATGGCAATTTCGGACTGGATCAGCTCTTCTTTACCAGCCGCATTCTCTCGACTTATCACTTTCAGTGCTGTGCGATCGCGTGTCTTCCTTTAATTTTACATTTCATTTTCATTTATTTCATTTCATTTTTATTCCATAATCATTTTTCCCTCTCACTCATCACTTATTCTAATTTACCAGAAAGCGCATGTTTTGCCCCACTCGCCGGGAATTTATTCACTAGTTGCTTTGAAATTGGGTTTTATTTTAGCTTTTAGTTTGAGCGAAGCCTTGATGAAGTTCACATAAGTGAATAGTCACGTTTTCGGTGGACACATACGTACCTTCCTCTAAAACGTACGTATGAAACAATTGAATTGGATTCTAAAAGTAGAACGCAAAATGCGAACGATAACACGAACTTGCATAAAGTTTCGTAAACAAGTGCAGTATTGCCATCACCTATTAATCGTACAATATGCAATTTATCGTCGAGGGCTATCGGTAAGTGACGACCTGAAATTTTTATTAAAACATAACTTCATTTTCAAATGATTTCACTGATTACAATTTTATAGCTTTTTTTTCAAATTCAACAGACAATACCAATACACAATAACACTGAACATCAACCATGCTCACAGTAAACTATTATTTATACATAATACGCAGTGCCTAGAATGAAGTGACACGTTATACGTAGCATACTATTGATTTGACCCTCAAATTTAGTTGAAATGGATACACCATTTACGCAATAAAGAATTGAAAATGAAAAATTGAAAATTTGACAAGATTAACTATATCAAAAATGTGATGATAATAATAACAGAACTACCATTCCCCAAATTTTGTCCACATACAACAAAATGATTCTTTGTTTCACCAAATGAGTTCAAAATAGAGGTAGCGATAGGACTAACTCATTTCAGAATCGGGAACAACGCTTCCAGCACGATCCTCTCGTAGAGACTCGTTTCTGGCTGGCATTCTTCGGCGAGATGGCTTGTAACGCCGTCTACCACACGATCTCGAACTGTACAATCGTTTCGATTCTATAACCAATAAAATAACAATCATAATAACCAACACAATAACTGCAACAGCACCAAACGAAAACAACGAACCTTCGGAATCCACATAAAAATCATCAGCAGCCATTCGCTCTTTTCCATACGCAATGAAGACATCATCTTCTCGGAAGAAGTCGGCCAGACAAGTTACCTGAAACATCAATCTGTATTATCGGTAACGTTTGACTGAATGACGAGAAGGATAATCGAACCAAATTCTGACAAATGAGACGAGGAGATAGATATTGCTGGGAAATAAACATATCTGAGCTTGAACATCTGAGAATAATTCAACGAGGATGGATGCATTAATAAATCTAGCAAAATCTCAATATTTCGGAATATTGAAAATTTATTTTAGAACATCAAAAAATAGTCGATTCCATTATACAAAAATTTTCGAATGCAATACGGCTGAACATCACGCAGTTGCTCGGTTGTTGCTAAATTTCAACAGCAATGAAAATAATGACGAAACACTGATCAACTTATGGTAAAAATATTGTCGGAAAAAATATTTTCAAAATAAATTTTTGACAACCTCTTTGCCACTCAATGCGAACAGTTTCCGTACCGCACCGCTATCCAACTTAACCACTGCTGTTATATCTTGGATCACCTTAAAATTCATTGCATACACTATAATAATCTGTATCATTTTTTTGTCCCAATAAAACAATCAAACACAACTGAATTTATGCACGGATAAATTCATAAATATAAACACAGTAATGATATTTTTATTGATTAACATGTCAAAAAATTCATTGGATCAAAGTTCATCCAACATCGTACTAATAAAGTTAATGTAATGAGATGAAATTATGAATGATCACCAAACTTCATTCAGATTGAAAATGACAGTAGATAAACTGATGTAAGGATATTCCTGAATCTTATCATCATAAAACAATAACGTAAGTGAATGTGAATGCAACCTGCAGAAACGATCGTGCCGTTCTCTTGTTGAGCAAATGTCGTACCACACGCCTCGGTTTGACACCATTTCGAATTATCGTTATTATACGAGGGTAAACAAAATCATTCGGTTCCTGAATGGAAGTTATGTTTACGATCCAATACAACGGACACAATACTTCTTGTGTTTGTAAAGATATATAAAAATGTACAGTAATACTGTTATCACCGGAAATAATCAACGAATTTGTTCTCTTAATCAACGATTAACAAAGCGAATCTGACGAATAAGACATCATTGATTATTTACATTCTTCTTCACGTTAACACGAAAACAAGCATACGGTAAAATTAAATTAGCACGAGGTAAATTAAATCGAAAACAAGTACACGGTAGAATCGAACTTCTCTGACATGAAGAATTATTACATTTTATTTTATTAATTCAACATGACAGAATCTGCATCTGAATTTGAATGTGATGAATAAGCAATTTCGGAATTGTAACCTGTTTCAACGGTGAGCTGATGAGACGTGGAGAAGAAGGACCACCACTCAATGAGATACACCATGTTGGTTCACGTGCATTCTCATAATCAAGTCTTTTGTAGAGTTCGGAGCTGAAATTCGAGTTCGATTGCTTTTGACTGACACATTAATGAAATAGATTCGACTTAAAATAATGTTCTTAGAAGACTTAATTGATTTATTAATATCAAATCTCATAGCATTATTGCGGACACCGTCAAATTAGATGATGAAAACTCAAACGAAGAGGATTTTTTAATGGCAAAGAACAGATAAAATCAAACTACAAACAAAAATGGTTTCAAGACTGCTGGTTTTATATAGACATTCATAAAATAAAAATATTTACAACAGTGGAATTTGATGAAGAAGAAAAAATATCTAACAAATGTGATAAAAATTAAAAGATTACGATCGAAAAGAGTGACAATCAAAACGAAAAATTACATACCTTGAGCAAACATATCCTTCACCGTCATTGAAATCATCTAAATTAGTAATTTTTTGCGAGCCATCCATCGAGAAGATATGCCTGACTCCGTGTGGTAAATTGATGGCATCGGTCATTGTTCTGGTTAGATCGCACAACAACGCTTGGAATGAACGCACACGTTCCATTGAGATCGCATACCACATACCCTTCAATTATTTTCTCTATGAACAACACAAATCGAATAACCGAACCAAAAATTCCATTTCTCACAAAAACAGTGTACTTTAAGGGTGTTTCACACGGACTGAACGAGTCGAGAGAGAAAAACGACTGTAAAAAAGAAATGAAATTGACTGTTAATACAATGTCTTTTTGCCAAAGCTCTTGATGAAATTCAAGAACAAAAAAATGAGTCTATAAGATTAGAAAGCAAAACCTTGAAGTACTGATCGCCATTTCGAAAGAATCGCACTCGTTTTGCTTTATTCGCTGGAAAGCATCGGAATGGCATCGGTGTGCACGGTGCACAGGCTGATGACGTTTGATTGGATGATGCGGTTGTAGTACCCGAGCCTGATGTACCTTGAATTTCTCGTATTGATTAAACTTGACAACGAGAAGCAATTCATAGCAATACGTTATGAATGCATTCAATATTGTTTTTTCTGTTTAGAAAATAATTATCATTAATAACGCCGTCTTACAAAGACAACTCCTACATAACACATTACCCTATTATATTATTAATCACTATTGCGATGTAACGTGCAATAATAAAGATATTGATAGCATGCACCGAATGGATGAAATCCATTAAGGATGTGGAATGAGCAAGGTGAAGAATAATGCCTCAGAACTGAAGTGATCCTCTTGGTCGATAATGAAACGAAAAAACGAATGAATTGACCGATAAGTCACAAATTGGTTATTCCAATGTTAAGTGAGACGCTTCATTTCAACGACAATTCCACGAACACAAAGCGAATAGAGACAATTCAGAGATGCAAAAATAGTTAACGATAAAAAGTTTGAAGTTCCGAACTGTACAAATCATAAATTGCTTGCCTAACCTATATTCCATTCCTCAAACTCGCATGCAATCACACGTTATATCTGGTTGTGAGGAGTGTATAATACAAATAATCGTAATGAATGTACTTTCTGTATTCGGATCACTGCATTCTTTCGTCTCAATTTATGACCATCATTTCACTTTGACAATTATCAGTTTTCACTGCTAAATTATCCTTATAGTTCTAATTGTAAGCAAGCAAATATGCGATTCGATTTGAGCTCAGAGCGACAAACTAACTGTTGATATAGTGAGTGGCATATGTCAACCGCAGAAAACACGCAATATTCATCACTAAACAATTGTTATAGCAGAGGGTTGAATGAATTTTGTGAGATGAAATTGTGTAATATAAGTACACTGATTTTCTTAGTACGATCACTTTCACGGTTGCAAAGAAAGGTTTACAATACAGTTGAATACAAATATTAATATTAACTAGTCGGAGAAACCCACTTATTCAACGCTAACGTTCTACTGTTTGACCATTTGCTTTCACGAAATTTGAATCAAATGAGAATACGAAAATACGAAAAGAAATCCTTAACTCAATTAAGATCCTACATTAACCTCTTCATTTCGAATGTGCAGATCACATTTCAACTATTCCCCACAAATGATGTCGACCAATAATGATTTTTTTGCTTCTAAACTACAAATTAGTTTTCTTTCTTCTTGCAGCTGAATCTCTCAAGCAACGAATGACGAATCTCAATTAATCTCAATCTCAATTGCTTCGAAAAAAATTTCTGTACAAAATGAATTGAAATTAACGTGAATCGAATGCAACCAAACGAATGAATGAATAAATGANTTTTTATAGATAACAAAAAAGGGTGACTACTGACTGGGTGGTGTATCTTTGTGATGTAACGTCATATTGATATGATTCGTCGTATCGTCGTCGTTCATCGATCGCAAGCTATTTTTTGATAATATTCGTTTACTATTCGGCGATAATGAACCATTTTGTCGTGTTGAAATATTACTATTGTTGTTGTTGTTATGATGGTGCTGAGATGTTGATTGCTGCTGCGTGATATTATTTGTCGATGACATTGAATCAACTTCGATATTATTTCCGCCACTCATTGAACCAATCATTGAAACGATACTCGATGTGGTACTTGTAGTTGCTGACACTGATGCGGACTCGGATTCACAGATAATACTCTTAAATCACATTCATCCATGATTAAATATCAACAATTCTTGTGAATATTAAATTCTTTACGATACTGCAACGAAAGTATAACATCGGGTTGTTAGGCGAAGCAAGGCTCGTTTCAAAATTAAAAATCAGCATATCGAAAAACAATGCTCAGCATTCGAAACTTACACGTCTCGAAACATTTGGTGTGTTTCGGTTATTGCGACGTTTATTGGTAAGACGAGGTAGTGTGCTGCGTGGTGAAGAACGTCCCACACTAGCAGTAACAACGTCTGGCATCAACAGTAATTATATATCACCGACAATAATAATTGCTCTAATGATGCTATTCGAAACTTTTCAAGATGACTACAAAGGATTGATTGATTGATTCACTTCGATTGATTCGAATCTGTCGTCGTTTTACAGACCGTAAGAAATCATATGAAAGCTGCTATTCTGTGCAAACGCACACAGACACCCTCGAACAAAGCAGCAATGCAAACACCTCTCTGCTGATTGATATACCTCAGATCGATGAATAGTGATCTGCAAATCAGATTTATCACTATTTTGATATGATCACGCAATGAACGCTTGCTTAATACGACAACACAGAGCATAAACGTGAATGATTCAAAAAGTTACTTACGACCAACACTTCCGTAACCTAT